GGGGGGGGGGCGAGAGAGAGGGAGGAATCAGGTTTTTAAAAATCCAACTTTGAGCTATTTACGGTTGTGCCACTATTTCCGTTGATTGTAACTTCTCCGTTACAACTCCGATTTGAGCTCGCTACATGTCTACGGACTCGTATTGACGCGCTGTACGGATTAAAAAGTAATTAAAATGACCCTATCCCTGAGGCAAAATTGTAATTTTGTAATTAATTAAATTAAAATTTTTTTTTTATAAATAAAAATTTGGGTTAGGGTGTCACAATTTATTTAAGGGCAACCGATTGTGCATTCCTATTTCTTCTTTAAGGGAGGCACTGATTCGGGATTTGCATGGGGGTGGACTGAGTGGCCATCTGGGCCGTGATAAAACTATTGCAAGTATGGAGGAGTGTAAGTGCTATAGTTGTTAGGTATCTAAAGAACAATCTCAAAATACTTGTCTTTATATGCCTCTCCCTATTCCTGATGATATTTGGTAAGACTTATCCATGGATTTTGTTATGGGACTCCCTCATACACAATTAGGAGTCGATTCTGTTTTTGTTGTGGTTGACAAGTTTTCCAAGATGGAGCATTTTTTTGCTTGCAAGAAGACTGCGGACGCTGCCAACATAGCCAAATTGTTTTTAAGGGAGGTTGTGCGGTTGCATGGTGTTCCTAAATCTATTACATCAAAATGTAACACCAAAGTATTTAGCCACTTTTGGATAACCTTGTGGAGGATGTTTAGTATGGACTTGAACGGTAGCACTACTCATCCGTAGACAGATGGTCAGACTGAGGTTACCAACAGAACCCTCGGAAACATGTTTAGGAGCATTTGCGGAGACAGCCCGAAGTAATGGGATGTTGCATTGCCACAGGTGGAGTTCACTTACAATAGTGCTATTCAATCGTTTAGTAGTCTGAAATTCAATTTTAAAGTGTTTACAATTTTTGGAAACTTTGTTATTTTCCTATTTTAATTTCTTTGGTATAGGGCTGGGCATCTAAACCAAAATACCGAAATCGTACCCGAACTATACCGTATCATACTGATTCCATACCGTTTCATTTGGGATGATGATATATTCGGTACGATACCGTACCGTACCAAGGGAGTATGGTATGGTAGCGGTACCAAGTATTTGGTACCGGTCATTACCGTACTGTACCGAAGTATAATTTTTTTTTTTTTGCATTCTCTCACGCCTATCTCTCACTCTCAGACAGAAACGTACGCTCAAACTCTCAGACTCACGAGTAATTTTTGGGTGTTCCGGGTACACCACGTGGCTAGTGTACCATCCAATAGACGGAGAACATATGAAATATTTTCAATACAGCCCGCCACATGTAATAAAAAGAAATGCAGTAAGTTAAATAATAATTCCACATGTCCTCCGTCTATTAGATGGTACACCAGCAACCCGGAACATATAAAAATTTCTCCAGACTCACTCAGCCGTTCCAACTCTCCTCCATACCCATACCCAGACCCAGCTCTCTGTCTCTCTCTCAATCGCACTCGATTCAAGCTCTCTCCCAGCCAAATCCTTCTTATCTCATCTCGATCTCTCACTCGATTCAAGCTCTCTCTGTCTCTCACGCTCTCGAACTCGATCTCTGTCTCACTTTCAATCCTCTGGATTTCTTGATCTGTCTATGTCTCGCTCTCTTAATCTCTCGATTTCTCCATATTTCTGATCTATCTCAGGCTCCCAGCCCTCTCTCAACTCTCTGGAATAACAAGCAACCCCAAATCTACGAAGGGACAAATGGTAAGTTTGTTGTATTTTTGTTTATTTATTGAGGGTTAATTAAATACGAATGTTGCTAGGAAATGTTGAATCTGTTAGAGGGTCGAAGTACTTGAAATTCCTTGCCCCCTTCTAATGATATCTGAAATGAAAATCTCTGGATTTTTTGACAGTACATGGTAACAGCTTCTTTTGATTTTGTGCATTTCTTTTTGGGAGGTGATTGATGATGATGATGAATCGATGATGATGGTGGTGATGATGTTTAATGGGTTATCTCTTTGTACTTTTCCCTTAATCTATGATGATTTATTTACTTTGTATTCTATCAATTGGCATCTTGCAGTATATAGAAGGCCAAGTATATAAATTTAGGTGTGCCTTCTCACGACTCTCCTAGCTTGAAAATGTTTCCACAGATAATGTGGCTACTGTTTCGGGTATCAGAAACTCTGACAAAACATAGACCATTATAGGTTAAGTCAATTGACATTGACTTCAAAATTAGTTATCTACAGAGGATCTTTATAATCAAAGGTTGGTTTGTCTCTCTTCCCACATAATGTATAATATATATACTAATGGCTTCTAGTTTGAGGATGAAATAATGGGCCTAAACTTTATCAATTCATTGATGTTCTGGAGAGGAGTGTGTTATTTTGGGATAGCGGCTGATAATGGTATAGATACTGTTGTTCCTTGTTTGAACTTGTGTCGAGTACCCATCTTTATGTTAACTAAACTGGCATATGCATGTGCTGCTGCTCTATTGGTTTTTATAAACTGGTTGCTGCTCTGTGAGGTTTTTATAAATTGGTGCCTGTTGTGGTATATGCATGTGCTGCTCTATTTTTATTGGTTGCTGCTGCTACTCTGTTTTTATCCATTCCAATGGCCAAATAAGCTAAATTGGTTGCTGCTCTATGAGGTTTTTATAAATTGGTGTCTGTTGTGGTATATGCATGTGCTACTCTATTTTTCTGCTACTGCTCTGTTTTTATCTATCCCAATGGCCAAATGAGCTAAATTGGTTGCTGCTCTGTGAGGTTTTTATAAATTGGTGCCTGTTGTGGTATATGCATGTGAAGCAGAAACTTTATTTTGGGGTTTATTTTGATTTTTGTTAATTCTTGTCATGCAGTCTCGATCAAGTAAGCATCAGGAGAACAGTGGGCTTGCTGTTTCTTCAAGTGCATAATTTTCTGTTTTTGTCATTTATGTTTGGATTGTGTTTGTAATTTTGTAAGCCATAAGGCATAATTATCACTTATTTTGGTTCGTAAGCCATAAGGCATGAGTTTTATTTAAACCATTTGAATTTGGTTGATTTGGATATTGAATTTGTTGATGAATATTGATTTGGTTGATTAGGCTTTGGATGTTGAATTTGTTGAATCTTTGAATCTTTGAATCTGTAACTGGGAGCTTCTCCAATGCGAACTCCAAGATGCGAACTCCAATGCGAACTTGTGTTTTAACCGTTGGATGACTTGTGCGCTTTATTTTCTTTCTTTTCGCTCTTCATCCAACGGTTAAAACACAAGTTCGCATTGGAGTTCGCATCTTGGAGTTCGCATTGGAGAAGCTCCCTCTGTAACTTAGGCATCACTAATTTTGGTGAATGAATAGGTTGAATATTCAATTGGTTCATTTTTGAGTTGTGTCATTTTGATACCGAAATGGTACCGTACCATACCGATACCGATTTGGTACAATATGGTACGGTACCAACTTTGGCAAACTATAATCCCATACCGTACCATACCGGTTTTAATTTCCGGTATCGGTAGCGGTACGAGCTCAACACTGTACCGTACCGAACCGTGCCCACCCCTACTTTGTTATTTCTAGGGTTTCTAGGAGTATTTAAACATACTTTATCCGTGGTTAGGGTTATGTATTTATTTCCAGTTTATCAAATAAACCTGAGGTTCTCTCATATTTCCTGGTGGATTCCAAAGTTACATGTTTTAGGCTAAGGTTTTAGTCGATCAATTGTCACGCTATGTCAATATTGATGTAGAACAGATGGCGGAAGCAATTGAAGAGGAGTTGGAGCGACACACGAGCAAAGTCAAATTAGGTAAGCTGCAGATTTGGGCTCCAAGTTGAGAATTAGGCCCATGACCTGTCGATTCGAAGAGAACGGCACATGAGTAAAACTCATCACTTTGCCATGATGTATGGGATTTGTCGAGCATTTGCGATCATTTACTAGCCTGAAATTCAGTTCTAAAGTTTTTACAGTTTTTGGAAACTTTGTTATTTTCCTATTTTAATTCCTATGGTTTCTAGGAGTATTTAAACATACTTTACCCATGGTTAGGGTTATGTTTTTATTTCCAGTTTATCAAATAAATCTGAGGTTCTCTCATATTTTCTGGTGGATTCAAGAGTTACATGTTTTAGACTAAGGTTTCAATCAATCAATTGTCACGCTGTGTCATTAACTTTTATAGTGAGTTAGTTTTTCCTCAAAGAAAAAGAAAAAAGATGTATGTAAAATAGGCCCTAGGCTCTAAAAGGCATGGTGTTTAATTACTTAGCATATGCAGTGAGTAAATGGAACTGACTGCGTGAAACTGAATTGATAAAAACGACACCACGTATTAATACAAACAGAAACCCTTGTGATTATGGATCAATACAGTGCAACACAGTATTGATCCACGTTAGTGTACTGATGTCATTTGAACAAGATGCAGCAAGTACAACTAATGACAACATGAATATAAACATACACAAAGATTTGTTAACCCAGAAACCCAACAAGGGTGAAAACTGGGGGACCAAGCCAGTAAGAGAATCCACTATCAATGAGAAGTACAAGATACAAAGGGAGTTGAGCTCCATCTACACTCAGTAGGCAGCTAACTATCTAACCTTCTAGCAAAGAACAATATTAGCTCATCTACACACAATAGGTAGCTAACTATCTAACCTTCCAGAAAAGCACAATCTTTACTTCTCAGCAGCAACCTCTCTTCTAGTCTTTGCATGAGCATTCAGCTCCAATTGCAACAGACAAATCTTCATGGTTTGCAACAGCACCAAGCTCCAAGTTGCAGAAGGTATAATGATATGAAGTGAGTTGTGGTTTCAGATTTTCATCTTTCTTAATCACAAAGAATGATTAAGTTAGACAAATGAAACCAAGTGTTGTGATGATTAAACTAGAAGTAATGAACTTGAAGCATATAGTTTAAATCAATCATAACAACAATGAAACAAAAGACTCAGCCGAAATCAATGTGAATATACTTGGAGGAATTTTATGTGTATGCAATCATACTCATACTCTCAAGTAATTAACAATGGCTGAAACAATAAAATAGTTTTTGAATGCTCAAGAGAAAATATAGAATGATTTCAAAAACATAGAACCGGGTCTGCATCAAAGATGCAGATTTTCTGTTTTTACATGTCTAGCATGAATGGTTCTTCTTCAGAGAACTAATAAAAATGAAGCAAGTTCAAATGAACTTCTCCACCTCTTCCTTAGGTCTAGCTTAGTATATATAGAGACTTGATACGAATGAAGAGGGGATATTTTGAACCACATATAATATAAAGAATGTTGTTTGGTGGCTAAAATATCTGAAAGGGCAAGACAGCAAAAGACTCAGCCGAAATCAATGTGAATATACTTGGAGGAATTTTATGTGTATGCAATCATACTCATACCCTCAAGTAATTAACAATGGCTGAAACAATAAAATAGTTTTTGAATGCTCAAGAGAAAATATAGAATGATTTCAAAAACATAGAACCGGGTCTGCATCAAAGATGCAGATTTTCTGTTTTTACATGTCTAGCATGAATGGTTCTTCTTCAGAGAACTAATAAAAATGAAGCAAGTTCAAATGAACTTCTC